GAAGCACTCACCGGCAGCTGGTTGTACTGGCAGCTCCCCATCAGGCACTCGGGGAAGAGGAAGCTGGGATTGCTGGGCCATCTGCGTGGAGGTTAAGGAACAGAGGACAATCCAGCCCGGAGAGCCGGGAGGGCTAGTCTGAAAGTCGGCACGCCGCTTGCACTCCGTTCGCGGGGGGAAAGGAGAGGCGATTAAGCTGCTCTTTATACAAAGTCATTATTCTGTAATAAGATTTATCCATATTAGAACAAAACCATTAGTAGATCTAATCCACAACTGCCCAAATCTTGTTACCCTTCCAAATCTCCCAGCATCGCACCTCGCCAAGCCAAGTTGCTAGAGCTCAGGGGCTTAAAGTCAAAAACTCCAATCCTTTACTTGCACCTAAACGGGGTGGATTCTGCAAAATCTTAAAATACCCACAAATCCCATTAACACTAACACCAGTCACTTGTTCCGACTTGTCTTTTTGAAATTTGGGTGTGGGAAACACGGATTTCGGAACGGCACGAGGCTCGGTGGCGGAAATGGCCAACTTACAGCCCCCGAGCACTCCGCAGCCCACCACCCTAACCCCAACCCTCCTCCTGCAGACCCACCGACGCTCCCAGCCTCAGCACCGGGACGCGACAACGCCGCCTCCGTGCAAACCTCACTCAACTCATGTGGGGGGCTCCGGCACTGCCACTCCACGTAGGAACTCCCCACGGTTACAGCCCGGAGAGCGGGTTTACAGCCAAGGATACAGGAGCGGCAGAAAGTCAGCCACTATTGCGGTGATGAGATGGGGCCAGTTCAGACTTGTTTCGGCCAAAGAGGTGTTTGGTTGCGAGAAGAGTCGAGATATGATGTGCTTTCTGGCCACTTCCTGGAAAAACAGCTCCACAATTGTTTGAGGGCCGGATACTAAAAACACAAATCGAAGGAACAGTGAGGAGAGGGCCCGCAGCAGCCATCCCAGGCTTTCCACACCACGCTGTGCTCGTCAGCCCCAACATCACAGATTAAGTCAGAGCAAAACAACGAGCACGTTCAATACTCAGACTTGTTGGTTTTGGATTTCTCTCGCTGTCTGGTTAAGTCAGAGGGAGCAGCAGGGATCAAAGAGCCACACGTTGCAATGTTTATTAACCGCAGCTCAATTAAAAGACAAAAAAAAGGGCTCGTGCTCTCTCCGGTTGCGCTGTTCGCAACCCACCTGCAGCTTTCCAGCCCGACCGAGCGTTCGGCGGGGCAGGGCTGAGGGAGTGCTGATCTGGCTGTCTGGCCCTGCTCAAATGCCTCCCTCCTCATTCCAGCACCCTGAGCAGCCCGCTCTCCCATCAGCTAACTGTTCTCAACGCCTCTCCCCAGGCTGCCGCCTCCTTTCTGTCTTCCCCACGTCTCACATATTTTTCCTGCAGCACGGCAGCCAAACAGGACTTTCCTCATGAGCGGGCCAAGAAATAACCCACGACACTGGCACAACACAAAGGATGTTTTCAATTTCGCTTTCGTGCGCTGACCTTTACGTCGAGGCGACTGCCTCCCGAGCCGAGACTCTCGCTCAGGGAGAGTTTGGGCTCCGAAGATCGCAGCCTGCTTACAAAGAGCACCGATGCCCCAGGCCCATCAACGAGCGGAGGAAATTCCTCCCCAGCTCACAGCCCTTCACGCGTGGCAGTGCTGCCTGTCTGTCACCGATTTCCTCAGCTCCCTCTGAAGCGTCTCAGCCTCCAAGTGCCAGGCAGACAGGTTACAGCAGGCTCTTACCTGTGCGTTTTCTCCCCTACCCTGCTCACCACCTCCCTCTGCAACCACTTCAAGGTACTCATTCTCCTAATTAAGTTGCCTTATATTCTCCCCCATTAGGGCTTCTCCCCCAAGACAGTAACCCAAAGCACGATGTCTTCGCAGCGAGACTTTTACAAGGTGAACAAATTATCAGCTGCCATTTCCCCCTTGAGGTACCGGCTGTGAGCAACGCACGTCTGAACTGCAAAGTGCTGGAAGCACAAGCACGTTTTGGGGAAGCATTTCTACATTCCCTCACCTCCTTACGTTGCTGCTCCTGCTCGCCGTGGGCTGAAGGCTGGAGAGAGGGACAGACCTGGGCTGACCCTCCGCAGCCACTGCAACGTACAGGAGCGAGAGGCGAGCTTGGCTGATACTGCCAGGGCCAGAATTAAGAACGTTTGGCTGAGCAGGGCCTGTCCTTCTCAGGCTACAAGATACTTTGCTGTTGCTGTTTTTCGGTGGCCAGCTTGACAAACGTCTCCACGTAAAGCGGGGTCACTGAGCCGCGCGCTCCACCAGCTCGCTGCACGGAGCATCTCCCTCGGGTGGCAGAGACGCAGAGCGCGAGAGGTATAAATAACAGAAACCAAGAGCTGAGGAACTGCAGGCATCTTACCTAGCTTATGGGGTGTTAGAGCAGTGGTGTCTGCTAACTCCAACACAGACAGATGCTGCAGATTAGACTCCCTAGAGAAGAAAAAGCCATCAGTGAAGAGACAACAAAACGCCTCCTGCTTTAATTGCGCTCATTGTTCAGCTCAAATGACTCCTACTGCCGAAAAAGGCAACAGCGCACAGAACAGCGAGACCTCACACGGCAGAATTAGCACAAGGCAAAGAGTCAGCTCAAAACACAGAAGGGAAGAAAAAAAAAAAACACCCTCCCCAGCACAGCCTGACTCCCGGAGCGACACTCCCACAGCAACCACCAGCTTTTCATACCAGGAAGGGCAATTCAGGTGGCTTTAGCAGGAACCTCCAATCACTCCAAGACAGAACGGGCATGGCGGGGACTTACAGCGTGTCGACAGGGACGTCTGACGCCAGGCACTGGCTTGCCCATCTGATCAGGTAGTAGGAGAGCAGCAGGGGAGAGGTGCGGTGCAGCAGGTCCTGCTGAGACTGGAAGAGGTGGCCCCCTCCCAAAACCATCTGCAAGCAAACCACCGAGGTTGGCACACCGAGAGGCCAAGCCCAGAGAGCAACAGCAGGACAAGGGCAGCCGGTGAGGTTTGCACCAGGCCCAGCTCATCCCCCCTGCAAACACTAAGGCAGTCAGCAGCCCAGCAGTTAACTGGGCCCACCCAGGAGACCCAGGAGTCTTGCACGTGCTGGCACAACCCAGACAGAAATTACAGTGTCACCAAGGGCTGAGTTAACTATTCTGGCAGCCCAGACCCCACGGAGAAAGTTTAACAAGCAGAGCTATGCGCACACCGAGCGCTCCTCTAGCCTGCTGATGCCAGGGACACCAGTAAAAAGAGGTGCTTTGCGCTGCTGCAACGATGTCACCCAGAGTGAAATCACAGCTTTGCTGCAGAGACCACCTCAGGGCCCAGCCCCGCGGCCCAGGCATTGCACCCCTGCACGCTCCAGCCAAGAGCGGCACGGCTAGGGGACATGGGAGGAAGAGCAACCCGCGCCTGCGAAGGACACAAGCGCGTCAGGGTGGCAAAGCAGCAGTTCCTCCTCCAGCAAACAGCAGGTCACATGTCTTTGAGAGCCTGGCTCCACAAGGGCACCTTGCAACATGCTTTAAATGCTCCCAGGGCAACCTTACCCAGGAAGAAGGGGATTTCTTTCCAATGAACCACTGCAGTACTGTTTCCAAGTAAATAATATTGGTTTAAACAACGCCAGCCTTGTCTGGGGACTTGTTCCGCGCCCCTGCGTCCACCCAGACGATCAGCACCGTCCCTCAGGCGGCCACACGGCCAACAGGACAGACCCAGCCCACGACCACAAACACAGCTGCCACCGCGGCGGGTGTTTGCACTGGCTGGGGCCAGCGAAACCCACCGCCCT